GGCGGGAGAAGCTGAGGTCACGGAGCGGCGGAGGAGAGGGGGGTGGAGGCCAGGTGAGGAGGGACTGGGGCGGCTCGCTCAGGAGTTAAAATCTTGAGGGATTCAGGGTTTTATATGAATTTTTCACACATATTTTATTTTATATTTTTAATTAAAATTACATGTACCACGTACCGTATACAAACGCACACCTGAAGCACACGCAGCGATGACACATGATAATACAATGTCTGCCCACGAATGCTGCATCCCGGGTGAGAACCGGAAGTCCCAGCGCAGATGCTCCTCCGCACCCGCCTCTCACGAAGGCCAGCGGAGCCTCCCCACCGCCTGGTCCCGTGTGGGAGTCGCCCTTTTGGAACCTGCCCGGGCCGATCTGCCGGCCGGCGCCCGATCTGCCGGGTCCGTGGATTCTTCTCGCCAGCGTTTCTCCTGATTATCCACTTTCTGTCCGGGAAGCTGCAAACTGGTCCCTCGAGAACCAGGGTCGGTGAGAGTTTGCGGGGACGCAGAAAAGACTCAGATAGAAGAAACGAGCAGAGATGTAAACCGAAGCCGGTGTCTCTCTGCATCGGTCCCTGGAGCGGCCCGTTCAAGACCAGGGACTGTGAGAGAGGCCACCGGGTCACAGAATGGGGGAGCGGGCACCATGAGGTCCCTGACCGCGGGGTACGCTCCCCAGGCTGTGGGTTGGCAACCGATCACTTGTCACCTGTGCCCGGTTAGGACAGTACGTGACTAGTTTGTGCTTGGGCCACAATCCCACTTCTGCTGGGGGGGACAGAGGAGGCGGCCGAGACTGGCAGGGGCCCTGCACCATCCCTGCTACCGTCACTCATTCTTGAACGACATTTTCAGCGCTGGCTCTGTGTCAGGCGCCTGTGCAGCACTGAGGGTGTGAGACCCAGTCTGCCCTCATGTTTGGAGAGCAGGGGAGACAAACATTAAACAAGACGTCAACAGACTGACGAGATCTGATAAGTGCTCTGACCGAAGGAAAGGGAGTGGGAGTGGGGGCGCCAGCTTGGGGAAGAGGGGGATCCCCCTGCAGGTGTCAGGGTCATTGCCAGCCTGGACCTCCCCGACGAGCCCCCTCACTTGGGCTCAGGACTGAAGATTTGCCCTCCCCCAGCCCAGACAGACAAACAGACATGAAGGCTCTCTCTTACCCTGGAACCTCATTTGTTCAACAAGCTTTGGGGGGGGGGGCCTAGAAGCCCCTCCGAGCTGCCAAAGTCCCGAGTCACCTGCAAAGGGAAACAGAATGTGCCATCCTCCTTCCTTCTGCTACCACCCCCTCCCGTCCCCCGCCCCCCTCTGCTGCAGGCTGTCACCAGCCCCAGGCCTGGCTGGGCACTAGCCTTGGGGTTTGGAAAGTGAAGTTACAGCTCCTGTTGAATCGTATCTCCCTCCAAATCCTACACTGGGCCTAGTACGTGACTGCATTTGGAGACAAGGACTCTCATAAATGGGTAGTGAGGTCATGTGGGTGGGCCCTAGTCCAATAGCGCTGGTCCCCTTAGACCAGCGGTTCTCAACCTGTGGGTCGCGACCCCTTTGGGGGTCGAACGACCCTTTCACAGGGGTCACCTAAGACCATCAGAAAACACATATATAATTACATATTGTTTTTGTGATTAATCACTATGCTTTAATTATGTTCAGTTTGTAACAATGAAATGGGGGGTCACCACAGCATGAGGAACTGTATTAAAAGGGTCAAGGCATTAGGAAGGTTGAGAACCGCTGCCTTAGCCAAAGCGGTTAGGGCACAAGCACACAGGCCGAGGGACAACCATCTGCAATCCCAGGGGAGAGGCCTCGGGGAAAAGGACCCTGCCGCACCGTGACCTTGGACTTCCTGCTCTCAGAACCGTGAGACATTCAACGTCTGCTGTTTAATGTCTGTAACAGCCCGAGTGAGCAAACACGTCCTCCTGGTTGATTGACAGACAGGAGCTGAGGCTGGGGTGGGAAGGAGGGAGATGGTGCACTTGCCTCAGGCTGGGAGGCTGGGAGGCTGGGAACAGGGCCCAGATCTGATGCCCAGGGTCGCTGCCCAGCTGGTTTTTCCACCTTTGCTCCCCACCCCCATCCCCCGTCTGCATATAGATTTTTCTACCTGAACACACCTCGGATCGAATTTCCCCACACAAAGCGGCCCGGCCCCACCCACTCAGAAAGATGTGAACACACTTCCTGGCTCCACACTCCCAGCCCTGCCCGTGAGGACCTAGGCCAATGCTTCTCACACCTCAGTGTGTGTCAGTCACCTGGACGGGGTGGGCGTTAGGTGACGGTTCCTGGGCCCCGAGATCCCCCCTCACCATGTGCATTTCTTTATGTATGTGGGTGCTTCTGCATTGGGTGCATATATGTTTACCAGGGTTATATCTTCTTGTTGTATCCATCCCTTTAGTATTATGAAGTGGCCTCCCTTATCTCTTGTTATGGCCTTCTCTTTGAGGTCTATTTTGTCCGATATAAGTATTGCTACCCCAGCTTTTTTTTCATTTCCATTCACCTGAAAAACCTTTTCCCATCCCTTCACCTTCAGTCTGAGTGTGTCTTTTTTTCTGAGGTGGGTTTCCTGTAGACAGCAGATATATGGGTCATGTTTTCTTATCCACTCAGTTACCCTATGCCTTTTGACTGGGGCATTTAATCCATTTACATTTAAAGTTATTATTGATAGAAACTTGTTAGTTGCCATTTTTGTTCTTTACTGTTGCATTCCTTCTTTGTTTCCAATTTTTTCATTTACAGCAGACCCTTTAGCATTTCTTGCATTGCTGGTTTGGTTGTAATAAACTCCCGTAGACCATTTTGGTCTGTGAAGCTCCTGATTTGACCCTCAATTTTGATTGATAGCCTCGCTGGGTACAGTATTCTTGGATTCAGACCCTTCCTTTGCATGACTTTGTATATTTCATTCCATTCCCTTCTTGCCTGATGTGTTTCTGTTGAGAAATCTGTCTT